CCCCTCCCCCACCCGCAGCTCAGCCAGTGGCGACTGTGGCCCGAGGGAGGACACGGAACAGCCTCCGTGTGGCCATGCACACCCACTCATCCCACCTGCTCTCGGTTGGAAAGGGTCTTCCCGCCTCCAGTGACTCTCCCAGAGTCACACTGTCCATGTCCAACATTGTGCCTGCTGTTGTCACCACTCACTGGTGGCAGGGTGGGGGCCAGACCTAAGCTGAGCTGACCCAACAAGTCCCTGGCCCTGGGATTCCGTGTCTTCCTGGCTGGCTGGGCCTGAAACGTCACCTTCCTGCCTGCCGTGGCCACGGCTTGCACTCAGGAACCGGGAGGCCCAGTCTGCAGAGGAGACAAGAAGGAGGCCATCACGTGAGCTGCCAGCATGATCAGTGGCAGACCGTGGGGCCGGTCTATCCCTGAGGTCCAAGGAGCCTTGGCCGTGGCACCCCTGCATCCTCATTTTAAGCCAGGGCCTTGTCACCCATAACCAAATGTCCTCACCGAGTCACAAAGAGTCAGTAAACATCCCAACTTGTGGCCAGGTTCAGGTACCTGCCTCCTTGATCGAATGCGCCGTGAAGGCTTTCCAGAAAAGCAGGCAGAGCTTCCTCTCCAGGTGACCCCAACCACCTCCCACCTGGTGCCCTCCTCTGCCAAGTCTCCTTTCAGGCATCTCTTGGCCTGAGTGCTGCCACCTTCTGGACAGCGGTGGGATGGCATGAGTGTTCCAAGGCGGTGGTCAGGACCCTGGGCTGGTGGGGGAGAAGCCAAGGTTAAATCCCGGGACCTTCATTAGGACCTTCCAACTGGCACAACACCTGGCAAAGGGTGGAATCTTGGCATTGGAAAAATGAATGAAACGATAAATGAGCAAATTGATGCGCGAGTCGGCTCAATAGGCAGCTACACATATGGAATAGAGTCCTGCCTCCCCCAGTATCTGCTCTAAGTGGGCGACAAACCAGGACCTCAGTCCCCTGACTGTGACTTACCCTTCCTCACTTCCTGTTGCCCATGTAATCTAGGACTTGATTATGCTGCTTCAGTGACCGAGTCGTCCATGAGCTCGTTCCTATGGGCACCAAGTGGGGCTGATGTCATGAAGGTTAAAGGTTAAAGTTTAAAAAGAAAAACAAACCATAAGTTCTGTCTATATCCGAACGACTGAGTCAGTTCCCTGAGTCAGTTACTCAAAAGATACTGGTGGGCGCCAGGACCCACCCAGCCCAAGGGACCCCGCCCCTCGGGCTGCGGTGATGCAGGACACGGAGGAGGTGATGCAGGACAGGGAGGAGCAGTGGCTTCGCAAGAGCCCCTCCTTTCTCTTCCCCCTTACTGCCTCTTGAGGTGGGTTAGGAGGAGAAGGTGGGGGTCCCCAGGAACCCTGTCCCCAGGGGCAAAGCCATCAGCAGGAGTTCTAGGGGGGTCTCTGGGCATGGGGGCCTCTGGAATGAAGACAGATCCACCCACTCTAAGCCTCCGCGTCTCTGGACACTCGATGGGCCAACTGCAAAGCCAGCTTTCAGAAGGGTCTTGGAGCCCCTCCCCGCCTTAGCCACAGGCCTTGATGGACCTTCCTCCTCTGAACAACCCTAACTCCTCGGGGGGCTGAGCTGCAGGTGCAGCCGGCACTTGCCATCCCTGGAATTTGGCCTCAGAAACGACGGCCAACCCGAGCGTCTGAGTCAACGTGTGCCACTGTCCTCGTCGCCACCTCCCTCCATCCCCACACCCACACACCCAGGTGACTTGGCAAAGCCTCACTTTGACCTCAGTTTCTCATTTTGTAAACAGAGGCCACCTGCCACAGGAGACCTCTTCATTAACTGTCCAGAGAGGGCAACCCAGCAGCACTGAGCAGCGGAGACCACGACTTCCATTTCGTAGACAGGAAAGCTGAGGGCACAGGGTAAGGGACCTGCACACAGGGGACAGTGGCAGAGCCAGGACTTGGACCCAGTCTGTCCGCCCAAAGCTCATTTCCTTCTGCTTCCCCCGGCTCCCGGGAGACGTCCTGAGCTCTCCCCCGAATCCTGGCATGAGACGCAGGATGTGGGTGTGTTCTTAATGTATTTGTGATGGAGCGCGTCCTCAGAAGCATCTAATGAGCAGCCGGGAGGCCAGACTGCTGCGGGAGAGCTGAAATTAGAAGCAGCATCAATAAATGCTCAGACGAATTTGTGCTGTCGGTGACAAGAGTCATGAAAGGAATTCTGGGATGTCGAGGAGATTCCCAGCCCCAGAGTGGGAGAGAAGCCGAGCTCATTCACCCGAGTTCCCAGGGCCCGTGGAGGACTTCTAGACCACCAGCCTTTACACACAGAGGAGCCGAGGCCTACAGAGGAGACAGGACCCCTCCACGGAATCAAACAGAGGGATCATCCCCAGGATCCTAATCTGGGACATCTAGGTCAATGCCCCTGATTGACCCAGCTCATGCTTTGTGGTCAGATGAACTTTGGGTCAGACTCCAAAGTATCTGATTCTCTAAGAGGCAGGGGGGAGAGAGGAGCCAAACCCTTATTCTTTGCTCCTCCTGTCCAGAGTGGTTGGGGACCCCTCCAGGATCTCCCCCTGCTGAGTTGGTTGCCTGAAGACAGTGCTCTGCACTCCCCCACAGACTTCAGGTAAACACCGCTGCCTTTTTTTTTGGGGGGGGGGTTGCCGGGAATTGAACTCAGGGCCACTCAACCACTGAGCCCCATCCTCAGCCCTATTTTGTATTTTATTTAGAGACAAGGTCTCACTGAGTTGCTTGGGGCTTCACCATGGCTGAGGCTGGCTTTGAACTTGTGAACCTCCCGCCTCGGCCTCCTGAGCCCCTAGCATTACTGCGCCTGGCCACCTGCTGCCTTTTGAGGTTCTTGCTTCTGCATAAAAGCTTCCGGCATCCCTGGGTGTTGAGAGAAGGGACGGGAGCAGGTCACAGATCTGAGTAACTATCACTTCAGGATGTGCTTTTCCTACAGCTCCAGGGTGTTTCGGGTTGTGTTAAAGCCCTGGCCAGCGACCCCACATCAGCACACTCAGTCCATCAGCAAACTGAGGAGAGTCTGCTCTGTGCCCACCCATGCCAGACACTGCCACACCAAGGACAGCAAGTTAGAAGCCTGGTCCCCACCGCAACATGGGGACATGGAGGACACAGTGGATAGCATGTGGGGTATTCATGCTGCTTTCCATTTGGTGAATGTTTACCAGGCCACACATTATATTTCTCCAACATTATTCTGAAGGCTGAATTTGTCTCACTTTGGGTGAACACATCGTTATCCATTCAACCACAACCCTGCTGTTGAACACGGAGCTGAGCCCTCCACCACCACCTCACTGTGAGAAACGGATCCGGCTGTTCTCAAGTTCCTCAACCATCCAATAACTGTAGACCGTCACCACTACAGGACGCCCAGGCAGCCAACTTGGTCCAGAGCTGGCTCCTATCTCCAGGGTCCCTTCCTGGCATTTTGTAACCTGTTCCTCTGGTGGCAGCCTCCCCGCTCCACCTCGCTCCTAAAGTTATCAAACACTGTTTCCATCCTGGCCCATCCAGGCCCACGCAAACCTCTCAAGTCTTTCCAATCAAGGGACTTTACTAAGGGGTTGGTTACCAGCTGATGGGAAAACTGGAGATCCAAGCAGGACGGAGAAGAAGTCAGAAGCTGCTCTCTCCTGCCAGCCACAGGGTGAGATGCTGGGGGCAGCTACCTGAGCTCAAGACTGGCCACCTGAGAGCACCAGGAAGAAGTGGAGCTGCCTGACGAGATGGGCTCCCCAGGGAGAGCCGGTGCCCCAGAGGAGACAAAGCCGAGAAATACCCTGACTTCTCCACTCTTCCAGCCTGCGTGGCCCAGTCTATCAGAAAGCAGCTGACAAAGGAACCTGGGAAATGTAGTTTTCTCCCATAACAGGAAATGATTGGCAGGGGCCCTACCTGAAGTCCCCCAAAGCGCAGCTTAGATGTGACTGCTTGTTCAAACAAACCTTAGCAAAGGTTCAGAGCCGACAGCCAACACGGGAAAGAAAACTGAAACAGAGATCCCTGGATGTCACCATCCATCAGGCCCAAAAGCCAAGCCCCAGGGCTGGGGTGCAGGCTGGGGTAGAGCATTACTTGGGCCTGGCTTAGATCCCAGCACCACACACAAAAATAAAACAAAGCCAAGCCTTCCCCGGACCCCTTGTGGGCCAATCTCCTGCTATAGCCCTGACATGTGCAACTGGGCCCAGCAAACCCCCCAGGGGCAGGTCCTTCTCTTGCCCCTTCATCCTTCTCTGGGGCCCAGCAAGAAGGGGAAAACCCTTTCCCAGGCACCTTCCTCACTAGGAAGTTCTCGTTCTTCTCTGTAGACACTGCTCTTTATGGCAGAACGACAGCTCCAGCTCGGGAGCCGTCTCTATCTTCACTGCCCCAAACCAGAGGCCCATTCCTGCATTCCCTTGCCAGGGGGAAAGCCATTCCCAAGGCTCCTGTCCAGCCTGGGGGGCAGGATACGGGCACCAAGGACAGGCATTAGACACCCATATCTTCACCTGCCAGAAGGAAGCCAAGAAGCCGGGCTTCTTCTTTGCTGCAAGAAACATTCTGGATTTTTTCCTTCTGTTTTGCCCCGTTATTCTCCTCAGGGTAAATCCCCTAGGAATAGAATTGCTGGGGCAAGAGATACCCACAGGGTGTGAGATTTGATTCGTCGCCAGTCGTTCTCCGATAAGGCTGTCCATTGTGGGTCATTTTTGCCCTTTCTGCCTCTTAGCTCCCTAATCAACCACTCCGGAGTCTTTGGATGAATCAGCCACCCAGACCAGATAAACAAGCCGGCCCGCCTGGTAGCTGCTCTCTGCCACTAGGAAGGGAACTCCCTTGGATCCCACCCAGGATCTGGAATTCCAGAGCACAGGGCCAGGCACCTTTGTACCCCTGCCCCCACTGGCCCAGGTCCTCCCCTGCCTCCTGACCCCTCCCCTCCCCTGCTTCCCCGCCCTGTGCCGGGTGGAGCCAGCTTCCCCGGGCACCCAGGCTTCACAGCCTGCCCTCTGTGCAGGGCCCGGAGTGGGGGCCCACAGGGGTCCCAAGCAGGGCTGATGAGGACGCTCCTGACCATCCTGGTGGTGGGATCCCTGGCCGGTGAGTGCCCCTGCTCTGGGTGAGGGCTGGCCCACCCCGGGGCCAGTGCGCGGGCTGTCTCCCTGCACCCATCCTGCAGCCCCATCCAGGCTGCTTTCAGTTTCTCCCCTGCTTGGGCTTGACTGGGTGCCGGCTTTTCCCGGAGACGCGGATGGCCAGCTCAGGTGGCTGGGGAGGATGAGAGGGTGCCCCAGCGCCCGGGTTCTCCCAGGGACTCCACTGGCCTGCAGGTCCGGGGGCATGTGGCCAGCTGTCTCAACCTGGGTGCTGGATCCCCTCATCCCAGCAGGTAGGGGACTGGCCTGGGGAGCAGACCTCTTGCCCTCCCTCGGGGTTCTGGCAGAGTTGGCTTCTCTCCCTCTGCTGGCCCAAGACGGGAGGAGGGACACCGTGGCCTCTCTCCATGTCCCTGTGGGGCCTCTTCTGGCCCCTCTGGGCCGGACCTGAAAGAGCATGTCCTCCCAGAGTGGCCAGGTGAGCTGCACTGCTGTCGAGTCCAAGGTCCCAATGGGATTCGTCATCATGGAGAACTGCACCTGAGACCCCAGGTTGTCCGCTCTCCTGAGCTGAATGTCGGGGATCTCAGTCCTGATGGAAGAGAGGGACATGTGACCTCTGCAGGCCCTCCTGGCTTCAGTGCAGGATGAGACCCGTGAAGGGACAGTCCCTGGCCAGCGCTGACTGGATCCTTTGCTGCCTCCAGTCTGTGCTGCCCTGGCCTCAGTGGGGCATTCCCCACACTCTGAGTCTCTGATGGACGAGGGAGACTTCCTGCAGCCTCAGAGGCTCCAAAACATGTCCCTCAGGCCCCCTCCCATTCTGGCTGGAAGTCCTAGAGCTCCTGGCCCTTTAAGGTGGGGACCCACAGGAAACAGCCCTGAGTAGATGGTGAAGGGTCAGTAGCATCCTCTGCAGAGCTGGCCCCTCGCCCTGGTGCGCTTAGCTGGTTCCTGAGCACGTGGGATCGTTGTTTGTGCTGTTCCTTGGCTTCCCCACCCGTTGACATATGGTTTTTCCACACAAATGTGAAAACCTGCCTTTTGTAAAGTCGGCCAGACAGTCGCTCCACACAGCATATGTCTCCCGGCGTTCAGAATGTCCACTTCCAACCAGGAAGTGCAGAGACGACTCTGGCCGGGGAGGGCATGATGGATTTGGGGATGAAAAGGAGCGAGGGGTTGGGAGGAGAGGGAAGGCCCTGTTAGTCCCTGGTACCCCCTTAGAGAGGGGGCCGGCCAAGCCCCCCACCCCTTCAGGAAGCCAGCTTCAGTTTCCGCTGGGCACAGTGACACCCACCTGTAATCCCCGTGACTCAGGAGGCTAAGTCAGGAGGATCACAAGTTTTCAAGGCCAGCCTCAGCAATTCAGCAAGGCTCTAAGTGACTTAGCGAGATCCTGTCTCAAAAAAAAAAAAAAAGTAAAAAGAGCTGGAGATGGAGTTCGGTGGTAAAGCACCCTGGGTTCAATTCCCAGCACACACACACATCAAAAAGTGGTGGCCATCCCCACTCCACCCAGGACCCTTTTCCAGCTTCAGCCACCGGCCTCCCTAGCACAGGGAGCCTGCACGGGACACTGTCCCCAACCAGCAAGCTTTCCCGTGCAGATTCTAACCCAGCACTGGGGGAGGCCAAGCCCACCCCGGACTGACTGTGGCCTCCTCTCCAATCTCAGCCTCTCTCTCCTGCCCCTGACCCCACCAGTGGCCACTGGACTCCCTTCCATGACTTTAGACCGAGCCCTGAATCCAAGACCCCTCCCTCCAGACCCCATTGCTGCCCAGACTGGGATCCAAGCCCAGGACACGAGCCACATCTGGGGCTCAGCGGCGTAGCCGTCACCTTGGGTGGGGGCAATAAGACCCCCTGTGCTACCCCTAAAGCCCCATTCTGGGGACTCTGGGAAGCTCCCAGACAAAGATGTCCACAGCTGCTGGGCCAGGGAGACCCAGATTCAGAGAGGGTGGTGGCCTTCCATGTAGGCAGGGGATGTGCCCCGGGTGGGACTGCCCTCATGCGCTTCCCACCTCCCCCAAGGACCTCCCAGCCCTGGACTCCTCTTGCAGAAATACTGTTTATAACTGGGAATAAAGAACTATCCACCCCTTCGTGCCCTGGGCCTGCTGGTGGCCATGGTCATGTCCAGAGGAAGGGAGGGGCATGGCCATCAAAGAGGCCTTGGCACAGCTGGGTCTGCACCTGGGTATTTCCCACCCCGCCAGACAGGTCCTTGTGAGCATGCTCAGAGCCAGCATCCAACTCTGGACACTTTCTTGTCCTTCTTCCCCTCCACAGGCT